CAGACTGTGCATTTGAAGGGATTACATTAGATGTTCCGCTCGAAATGGACGCGTTAGTGCCTTTTGCATGTGGGCCACCTTGGTCTCCTTGTTGATTGTCTGAATTAGACATTTTGTCCAAACGTTTTCTTCTGGATAAAGGTTGGTTGCTGTTGGTTATCTTACCACTTCTCAGGTTCATAAAACAGCAAACTTCTTAGGTTCCTACGTTTTTGTAATGGTTACGTCTCGACAATCCTTAATTCTGATATCCAACTATTGGTCCCACCGGGTGTGCCAATTTGTTTCCAGTGATTTCTGGTAAACAACCGCTAGTCTTCCAAACTATCGAATAATCTTTCTTACTGTTATTCAATCTCTCTGGTAACTCACAGGATCGACTAGATTGATCCTAGGACTCCTTGGATATTAAGGTTACTCTCACAATCGAACAATTATTCATGGTTGCTATTGTATAGGTATTTGGCTTACTTCGATCCCTCTCTCTAAGAGTCTAAAAATGTAGTCAAAATGTATATGGAAACTAAGTTATACGAATAAATGCTAATTGTAATGCTGATTGTAGAGACATATAAAACTGCATGAAAAATGAAGTAAATGGTTTCGACTTACAAAACGTTTAACATAAAAGGTTTCTGGAATGTAGAAGTTTAAAATATGCAAAAAACGTTTAATGCAAGAAATCTGTAAATGATTTTAAGTAAAAGCATGCGCTTGAAGAACAATACTTGAAAGTAAAGGTATTGAAAATGTGACAGTTCTCTGAAATATAAAGTGCTCGAAATATAAAGAAAACAGTAAAACGTAAAACTTTGAGGAAAAGACTTTGAAGTGAAAAGACTGTAAATAAGAAAACTTGTAAATGTTGCCTGACAAAAAGAATAGAGGAAAGTACTGGAAATGGTAAAAGGTTTTCATTAAGTTAGAAATACATGGTGCTATCATACATACATTTCTCTTGCATTCGTTTCCCTTGCCATGTGGTAGTTTGAATGTTATTGAGTATTTTGTATAACAGATATGACACACCGAAATCCTAATACTAAGACTTCTATTTATACTAATTCGACCCTAACGGTCTTGCTATAGGATTATGCCACGTTTCGAACATGCAGGACAATGCTTCCTTCATCTTTCCACGTGTCCCCAAATGCTCCAACACATAACTTTCAAACTTTGAAAGTCCCGCTCCCATTTGAATTTTAAATGCTTTGGTGTTTCTTCGTTTCGAACGCTTTTCCCAAACATAGCCTCGCTGTTGTTTCGAGACTCCTTTGGATATGTTCCCATAATTACCGTTCGAAGCTTCAAGCTTTGACACACTTATTCGAAACACTGCTTCTGTTACTTCGAAATATGGCGTTTAATTCCATTTCGATCAGAACGTTCAACTCTCTTGGCTTCTAAATAATATTATTGAAATCTTCAGCCAACAGTTATATACAGGAGAGCCTCGCTTTCTATGGTCATACTCATCATCTGTATCAGGAATATGTCGTCCATGTAGCCGGTGGAGCACACAAATCATAGGTCCAATTGGCCCTTTTTCATGCGTCGGTATGATCTCCAAATAAGATAGACCCTTTTTTAGCTGTAGCTGCACTCATGTGGGCCATCATAAATGGGGCTGAGTTTATCAGTCTCTTTATTTTCTAAGAATTCAAAAAAAACATTAAAATAAAACTCTGTGGGTTGCCTCCAATGCATAACTTTGTTTAACGTTAATAGCTCGACGGTTGATAAGTGTAATCACTCACGGTGGTTCTCTCGAGAATGATTCCTCTATAAAACTATCAATAATCTTCAGTTTCCATGGCCACTTATCAAGCCATCTTTCATATCCCTCACATTTTCTTTTCTTTCTTCTGACCTTGTGGGGGTGGTTCTGGCTCTATCCTGAGTATCAATCTCTCAGGTTTGAATTTAGTTCTTTCATCCACCATCTCAAATGTTAACATTCCCCTCTTAACACTAATGATTTCCCTAGTTTCATGGTTATCTAATTTTTTCTTTTTATGCAGGACCTCAGATAAAGGTGCATTAGTGTGGATATTTTCTAATACCTTTACATACCTTTTGAATTGGGAGTCTATCTTAGCTTCCATAAATATTAGGGGAAAGAAATAGGTGGGTTGTAGGGAGGAGGGAGAACATAAGGTGCTTCCATCTCTACCTCTTTGACAACCTCCCTTTCGGGTGGTGTCAAAAGATTTTTCTTAATCTCTACTTTTTTCTCACCAAAACTCTCCTCAACCTCATTATCACTCTTCTTAGGATTTTCAATTTGTTCTTCACTATTGGTTGTTACCACATTTGCATGTCTCTCAGGGAAGGGTCCTAGAGGTGTCTGTGCAAGCTGAGAGATTTGAGTCTCAAGTGCTCTACTGCTAGTCGCGAGGGACTTAACCATAGGGTTCAACTTCATAAGGGTTTCATAATTATGGAGAATGTTTTTTCTAAACTCTTCATTCTGGAGAGTTTGTGTTTCCAAAAACCTCCTCATCATAGATTCTAGCCTATAGAGGGTTTATGTCTCAATGAAATTCTCCATTATCATTTCGAGGTCGAATTTATGGGAGTCTTGTGGTTCCTCAAAATACTGGGAGTGGTAATTATAGAGAAATTTTTGGTGATACATAGTAATAGAGACAAGAGTGGCTTAATCTATACGGTGCAACAACAGTGTTATGATATTTGACGTAATTGGTCCCCAGCAACGGCGCCAAAAACTTGATGGGGTATTTCGCAAGTGCACGAAAAGTATTTGAGTAATATAAAGAGTGTCGAACCCACAGATACCTAATAGTCAAGCTATCGTTATTTATTGCTATGGTGTTTATCTAAGGTGATTGAATTTAATAAGAGAGTTGAATATAAAAATAAAATAAAATAATAAACTTGAAGTAATTAATAATAATAATAATATTAGAGTGTGGTTGAATTAAGAATAGGAAAAATGAAATAAATAAATTCGGACAAATAATGTTAGAATGTGATTCTCATTAATCAACAATACTCTTATTATTTCTAAACAGGACTATTTACGGGGAAATATTTTCTACCTTGAAAGGAATTAATTTAATGGGAACTGTCGCTTTTGTGTATTCAAAACCGAATCTTACTCGGTAAATCATATTGTTCCACTATCACTATGCGTTAAAGTAGTAAATCCTATTTTAAGAAATTAAATTCTTTACTTAGTTGAAAAGTAATTTCAATTGAAAAGTTTAACTTAAAAGGGTTCCAGGCTTTCGTTTAGGTAACCGGATCCTAAACCTATAAACGCGCACGTTTGCAAATAGTTTTAAAATCTCTTTCTAAAAATATTAGACTTTTCTAATTAATTAATAAAGTACTTTCGCGGTATTTATTAATCAAAAATAAACTAATTTTATTCTTTAGTGTCAGACTACTTTTGATCTTACTCGACGTTTTCACGGTCCCACTTTCGTAGTAACAAATTAAATTAAGTTCAGAAAAATTATACTAAAACTAAAATATCCCACAATTGTAATCCTAAAGAAATAACATACAGGGTACCATCAAATGACGGTCCTCACATTTCAGTACTTAATAAATTAGCTGGACATAGTTACGGTAAACAAGTAAATAATTAAATTGGATTCAGAATTAAGCATAGTGGCAAAAGGCTAAAAGTAGTTTTGAAAACAAAGGCGAGGAAAGTAATGCAAGGAAAGTAAATAGACAAGGCGAATAGAATGTAAATAAAGCTGAATTAAATAAAAACATGCTCTAAATAGAGACTTGAATCTAGTACAATGTAAATAGACGAAACTAGACTTCAACGGAATGTAAATGCGGGAATAAATAACTTCAAAGTAATGGTGCTCCAAACCCGACAAAAATAATGACGCGATAACTCTCTGATGCGAAGAATTAAAGCCTCTCGAATGTAAATTTGTGCCTCAGTTTTACTAAGTTTGAATCCCTGAAAAAGTGATGAAAAGCTAGTATTTATAGGGTTCCCAAACCCAAAATCCAACAAGGGGTGTTATCAAATGCGTGGAAAGATTTTAGGAGGAAATGGAGGGAGTGGGAGACTAAGCAAGCCGACTTTCCAGAGTCAATTCTTTCTAAGGGAACGCATACTTGCTCTGAACGCTCAAAAAGTGATTTTGATTCCAGTACTTTGGAAATTTGTCCTTACACCTGGTTGGTTCCGAGCCAAGAACAAAAAGGATTACCCTCCGAAATTACATATAAGCTCAAGTGGGATTGTGGACTCTAGAGGACAACTAGGAAATACCCTTCTTTGAAGTTCTTTCAGCTTAAAACATAAACATCAAACACCTTCTTCGGTTGAATAAAAAAGTATGTGTTACATTGAGAAAACCTTGTCCATGCTTTGCTCTAATCAAAGTATGTGTTACACTGATCAATTTGAATAACAACTTTAAGGTTAGAACTTCACCTTGATACTTGCACCAATGTTGAAACACTTTCACATAAGCCTGGCTCATCGGGTGCAGTTGAGAAGGAAAAACTCTTAAGTGATTCAATACCCCCAAACCGTATTTGCCGAGGGGGATCACAAATCCCAATCTAAAAAACAAACACTCATGGAAACGCATTGAACATCCACCAAAGTGGCTGCATAACCTCTTACCTAATTTAATATGAGAAATCGGCCAGTTGGAAGACAGTTTCGCATCCCGATGAGCACTCTCCATTCTACGGGCCTCGCTGAACACAAAAGTCGTCCCTGCAACTTATGTGTCCACCCAATAATACCGAGTGGCATCCACAAGGAACTCGATGCCTTGTTGTTCCTTTAAAACCATCTCTCCTCACTGACATGAAAAGAAAATGTTTATCATGAGTTCTAAAATGTCCTCCGAAGTCAAAATGAAGGCTAACTTCCATGTCATTGGGTTCCCGATCATTCAAGGACCTAAAGACTTTTATATATGAACAAGGCCCCAAGTCATCCCAGTATCTCTCACCAAACTCCGGACCCACCATAGGAAATTCTGCAGAATTTAATCCTTGTCCTCAAATGGTCTGAGGCCTTGTTGGTCCTTTCGAACCGTCTCCTCCTCATTGACATCATAAGGAAAATGTCTATCATGAGTTCTAAAATTCCCTCGGTTGTCAAGATTCTGGCTAACTTCCCTATTGTCGGGTTTCCAACCATTCAAGGAACTAATGGCTTTGATATAGGAATGGGCCCCCCAGTCATTCCGATACGACTCACCAAACTCTGAACCCGTCATAGGAAATTCAGGAGAACATAATTCGTGGCCAACTTCATCAGTGTCAGGATGAACCAAGTTCACCCCTCTGCCTTTCACTACATGGCCACTTGTATTTTCACCACTCTAAAGGCCCATCGACTCATTGTCACTTTCGTCGAAACAATCATAGACTCAGAACTATCACTAATCATTATGAGATTTGGGGGAGGATAAATAACTATCAAAGGAACTACGTTCAACACCTCTGGGTTCATTACCTCTGTACAAGATTAGGTGTCGCTTATATCGTCACCACTAGGTATATCTGCGAAATATGGAGGTCAATCTTATAAGTTGTCCATTAAAAAGAAGAAAGAGAACATGCAACTACAATAAACAATGAGGGATAAAAGTGATACCTTAAAATTTAGAGAAATGAAGTTAATGCAACAGTGAAGAAATCATTTGAAAATGTGAGAGACTAAAGTGGATTGCAAAATTTAGAAGGAAAAACAAATGGAAAAGACAAGGTGTTATTGGAGCTTAGGGAAGAAACGTTAGAACGGGCGCAAAGGGAGATCGTTGGGACAAAGAAACAAAAAACGTAATCTGAAAGGAGAAACGACCCTTATATAATGGAACAAATGGGACTGATCTGCGACCCAGAATGAAAGGAAGGTAGGCATATGAAACCAACAAATAGATTTTTCTCGTAATCACAACGACACTTGAGTACACTTAAGCACCCTAAATGGCAGCATTGTACCCTATCCTAGGGACCTAAGACCAAGTTTAAATACAATCCTGCAAAATATTTCAATGACAAGACTATCATGTAATGCGTAGGGCAAGGCGGCCCAGTAATCTCATGTCTTCTCATTGCTTCACAATCGTAAAACTTTTGGGGTAACTGTTTTTGGCCACCGAAAGACCCAAAAGACTGAGAAACTCAATCATAAGAGGGTCCAATTCAAGAAGCACTCAATGGATCACTGAAGATAAGATGTGACCTCGATTAAGAGGCAAACACTCGACCTTTACCATCTGATGATCATCCATCGTTAGATTTTATCGAATGGTCTACTGCGTCTCACGCCGGAGAACATAGGTTGTTTCTATTTTCCCGTATATAAATATTGTCACGCGATGATCACATTTACATTCTCACTATAACTCACGTCACTACTTTTAAAACAATAAGACTTTAATTTAGAAAAATAGTAATAAACCATTTACTACATTATATATTTGATATAAAAAATAAAAATGTGAATATATATACATATCAACAACTATCCTTGTAACAATAAATTTACATTATTCAATTTTGTAATGGTTTTCCAGCTTATGCATATATGTAAGCTTAATTTTATTTCTTACAGATACAAATGCGTATAGTTGATGAAATGGACAATCAATCATGCATCAGCGAAGAACTGATACTTTTGGATGTTGTTGATTATGAAACGAAGAGCTGAAATTGTTGTTGCTATTGTAAGTAGAAATGAAAATACAATATTGATCCAATGCCATGCCTTCTTCTTTGTTCTAGCTGTCTTTCCCTTTACCTTAATGTAAACAAAATGCATAAACAAATTAATCACAAACAATAATAATTTATAGAATATACCTTATTTTAAGAGACAGAGATACTAACCTTAAGAAAAATCATGCTTGGGAACATAAAGGTTAGGGGAACAAGTGAAAATGAGCCTAACAAGTTTACAAAATCACCCATAAAAGGAAATGCCGCGGCGATGAATGTGTTTCCGGTATAGAAGCAGACGCGTAGCAGAAACAAACGTTTGAAATTCTCCCCTGAATGCATACCTTTGCCGATTTCTAGAAATCTAGTGTCCATAGCTTCATGAATTGGTGCCACAAACATCTGCATTTTTTAAACAATGGTTGATATATTATGATTGTAGATAAATACAAAAAAAAAAATTGTCTAGTCGTCGTATGCCGGAATTTCACTCCTTTGAGATGTCCTCGGTAATTTGATGTCTCTGTACAACTATCAATTATTATGTTGTTTTATATAAAAAATTAATTTGCATAAGATATCTTGAAATGGGTTATATGCTAAATACTTACATGTTGAGAAACTACGGATTGTAGAAAAACGATGACATTAACAATGACATTGATCCATCTTGGTCCACTTAAATTTTCAGGAAGATATGAAGAAACCATTGATCCATAAGCCCAATACCCAATTACAGTAACACCATAATAGAACAATGCTCCCACTGTATATTGTGAGAACAATGCTTTTCTCATGTTCTTCACTGCTGGTTTACGTAAAGTTGACTGTATTTCAGGAAGCATGCCACTAGTGTTGGTAACAATGATGGCAGAAATGGCTCCAAAGCTATTGAACACCTTGTTCACTTTGCTTCCACTAATGGTGAAATCTTTGTTAGGATTTGATTTACCATCTTTGACTGCAACGGCGAGAAGAAATGCTATGTATGCGGTGGTGACAACCGCAGAGACTCCGAGCCAGTTTCTCATTGAAGATAATGTTGGAATGGAGAAGGAAAATATGAGATATGCTACTCCTGTGATTACTATGAAGTATTGAAGCCTTAATGGAGAATCACTAAATTCTGAGTTTATTTCCTGTCAAAAAGTAAAATCATAAATTCTACTCTCAAAAATAAAAAATTGACTCATTTGATGCGTCTCATAGTTTGTAATTTATTTACCTTAAGTGCTTTGCCTCCAAGGAGAATGAAACCCATGTTTCCAAGTAAAAGGGTCAAAAACTGAGAAATCCACGTTAGGTGATACATCTTCTTTCCTTCACAAATTAAGCACCAACAATTCCATTAAGAATGTGAATTAGTGTAAAGGTAAAGGCACGATTTGAGGAAAAGATTTGTTATGACCACGATATCTTAGTCACATAGTTTTTGTTACACACGTTATAATTTTTATGTAACAACACATAAGTCACATGATTTAGGTCCTAACATCATGATTTTTCATGTCTATGTAGAACTCTCACATGATTTTGGCACTAGACATCACAACTTTTTATGTCTCAACACATCATCGCAGATTTAGGCCATGAGAGATTTTTTATGTCTCAACACATCATCGCACATTTAGGCCATGAGAGATTGTAACTTTTTATGTTTCTGCACCTCATTGACATGATTGAGTACTATACAACCATCTTTTTTTATTTATGTTTTTACGCATAGTTATTTAAACCATGATATTATGAATGTTTATCCATGTGCGCATCAGACACATGATTTAGACCGGGACATCATAAAATTTTATGTTTTCCCTCATCTGTTTGTAATTTTTTCACAATATTAATGATAGTGACATCATGATTGATTAGCAAAGTTTAAAACCTTCAACAAAGAACTTTATATGAAACACTTAACATTAATGAAAAACAAACCATAAACAAATCCCATGAGATCTCTGTATCTGATGAATCTCCGTCCATCAATGAAATGAAACGCTGCCAAGAGCCAGTTAGCATAAGCTGTGTATAATCCAACAACAAAAAGCAATATAACACCCCAAGTCCAACCAAGTGGAACCATAATCAAGTTCGAGAAACTGAATATCCAACCGCAATTGAATCCCGTCACCAACATCAACCCCACTTGTTGCCATGAATCTGCAAATCAAACATCATGTGAAAAACAAACTAGTATATTACATAAAACAGAATTTAGCTTAGTTAGAATAGAACAAACAAACAATACCTTGGTCAATGGTATGAGCAGTAGAAACATCATAAGAATCATTTAAGGTACCATGTTGTTGATCATGTTCGAGGTTGAGAGTGAGAGAGTTATCATTGCTTGGTCTTTGTTCAACATCCATAATGAATATTCTGAATTCATTCAAAAAGAACAAGAGTTTAGTATTCAAATAAGTAACGAAAAGGTTGGAGCACAATAGTGCGAGTCAATGTCAGTCCCTAATTATTTGGGGTAAATAAGTGGATTCAAATATGGAAGATGACTAGAAATTTTTTTTGTTGTTTAGTGAAGATATTCAAACTTTAGAATTATACAATTCAGATACGATAAAAAGTGTGAGATTTAAATTATTATAGGTTATTTTTCTTCTCGAATACTAGATGACCGGCCTTTTATTATGAGCGTTTTTTATCACTCATGTTATTGCTTTTTTTTAAATGATTTTTATAATACAACTTTTTTGTTAAGAAATAATAGAAATTTCTTTTTGAAACAATAATAACAAACTTTTAAAAAAGATAAAAATTTGATTTCAATAGTCAATACTTTTTCGTACAAAAATATTTTAACATTTTACGTATTGTAGTTTCGTCTTTGAATTTAAATTTAAATCTATAATATCTTATTTATTTATTTTTAATTAGGCGAATTTCATTAAGTAGACTATTCAACAAAAAATATTTTATATAATTTAATTATAAATTTTTTATTAGAAAAATTTAAAAATTATGTAAAATAAAAATTTATTTTGAATAACTCTTAATAAAAAATCCTCTTTAATAAATATTTAAAAAATAAAAACATAAACTCACAAGAGCGAGGGCGACTGCGAAAATAGGTATCACCGTCATCGACAAATCAATCGATAATAAAGCAAAGAAAAATATGATGTTGATCAAATGTCATGTCTTTTTAACTTGGTGTAATAGTTGTGGATCTATATGCTTGCGAGTAAACAATCAAGTTTTTTATGACAATAACACATCTATAAAAGATGAAGTACACAAGCCAATATCAAACATGAAGTACTCAAAGACAAATACAATAGGAGTCCTGAAAACCTCCTCAAAGGAAAGATATGGAAGCTCGCAAAGTTCTGTTAGTCTGTTTGAACGAATCAAGTATTTGTAAAATAAAAATAATAGCATAAAAATATTAAGACAACTCTCACACACACACTAAAAACAATTTCTAAAAAGAAAAACACTTAAAAATGACTTGGAATTTGTGCCAAATAACTTAGGAACCCTAGAAATGACCAAAGGGGAATTTTTGTCTAAAATCGATTAAAACTTGAATCTAATCGATTAGAAAATATCAAACTTATGCCCCAAGACATTTCCACAACTCTTAAATGATTAGCAACAAATCTATATCACAACCTTTCATTTTGATAATCATAACGACTATATTCAATTAAACTAATCGATTAAATATTCAATGAGGCCCATGAATCATTTTCTTATTGAGTGATTTCTACCACTATATAAAGGGGTGACTTCCTCCCTTGAAATCATGCCACTTTCCAACGTTTTAATATTTTCTTGAAATTTATCTCTCTTCTCACCTTCTCTTTCTAGAAACTTTTTTACTTTTTGGTTGCCTTAATGCTTTAGAGTGAAATTTTATTTGTGAGGAGAATATCATTTTTGTAAGTGGTCGTGTTGGTCGTTGATAATCTTAAGGGTGTGATACTTTTAATAGATTGAGTTTTGGTTCTTGAGATCTTCTGTTATTGGTTTATTAAACTTAGCTGATAAAAAATTTGGTTTTTGGTTAAAGAGATCAACCATAAATCTCTAAACAGACTCATTATAATAAGTTGAGATAAAAGTCGTTCATAGGTTGAAGATAAGCTTGATTGTATTAAGGTTCGTGGGCATAACCGATAAAAGCTCACAAGTCTTATTTTGACATACTCCAAATTCATTAGACATAATATCTTCTTGGCCTCATAACAACGATCTGGAAAGTTATTATTTTCTGGTTGCATTTGTTTCAATAAAGGTGCATCTTTGGCGTTGCATAAATTATCATAAATATCGACTTTCTTATAAGATGATTCTCCCATATCACGAATCATATCTTCTAGTCGATCATCCAAAGCTTCGTCATCTTCATCCATTTGTGACGTCTCATTTTAATTATTATCCACTTCTCCATAACATGTCCATGTTGTATAATTTTGACATGCCTACCTATTGAAAAAAATATTTAAAAAAGTACAAATTATATCACAACGGTTGTTAAAATCAACTGTTATTATAAAGAGAGTGTTATCCAGAATAATAAAACTCAAGAATAGAGTTGCTTGGATTCAAACCCAGGACCATTCAATTATTTCATAACAGTTATTTCTATAAACTATAGTTATAAATAACGTGCTAACTAATTTATAACAACAATCATAAATTCGTTGTAATAACTGACATACATACAATCACACACTATCTAATAACAAATGCGCTACTGTTATTATATATATTTTTTAATTGTTATTGTATGTGTTTTCTATAATAATGTCCTGTCCATACACTCTAATTAAATAGTTAGGAGCACTATGCCAAAATTGACTTTAGACAGCGCCACATAGACAACGCTTATGCCTAAAGTGCTGCTATAGGTTTTCAGAAAAATTAATAATTAAAAATTAAAGGAGAAGCGCTGCTAAAGGTATACTATAGACAACGCTTATTATAAGCGCTGCTATAGGCCTTACCATAGACAACGCTTTCTTTCCCTAAGCGCTGCTACAGGTTTTCAGTAAAAAAAATTAAAAAAATAGAATAAGCGCTGCTAAAGGTTATACTTTAGACAACGCTTACTAAAAGCGCTGCTAAAGGTGTTATTCTAGAAAGCGTTGCTAAAGCCTAAAGCGCTGCTAAAGGGTATACCTTAGACATCGCTTTCCAGAAGCGCTACTAAAGGGTATACTTTAGACAACGCTTTCCATAAGCGCTTTCCAGAAGCGCTGCTAAAGGCATTACTCTAAAAGCGCTGCTAAAGCCTAAAGCGCTGCTAAAGGTAATACCTTTAGCAGCGCTTCTTGAAAGCACTGTCTAAGGTAATTAAATAGTGTCTTAATCCCTAAATTGGTTATCAGATTTCCAGAAATCCCAAATCGTACAAACGAAACCCCACACCCAGAAATCGCTCCTGTTCATCTTCTTCTCCAACTCGTCTCCTCCCATTCACCGTCCAACCGTGGTTCTTCCTCTAACTCGTCTCCTCACCGTCCAACCGTACTTTGGTGGTTCTTCCTCCGCGCAGAAGCAACTCTCACCGTCTCACATGTCATCAACCTGTATCTGTCGAGTATCTACTAAATTTTATATTTTATTTTTCCTTGAAAAATTTGCATTTCTTTTTATTATTATATAACTTTATTGCATGATTGTATACTATCTAGTATGTAACTATCTACAAGCTCACAATAGATTCTATAAATATGCGGTGTTGCCTACTGAGAAGAACTGATTAATCAAGTGATACTACCAGTTATCCAATGAGCTCTTATATTTTGGTCGTTTCTATCATTCACAATTTTCCTTTTTCTTATTGTATGAAGGTAGTTATCAATGGCTACAGATTTAAGGAAACACACATTCGAGGCCTTGGATAGGAAATCACCTATTCTTGCATCTTCTATGTCAAGTGTTTCGTCCCTGCATTTATGTTATCCGTCATCAAATACACTCAATTAAGGTAATTCATACTAGTGCTTATGTATAATCTGTTTCTATAATTGAAGAGAGAGAATAAGCTGAAAGTGTCTTATGACAGCAATTTATGCAGAAAAACTTATGAAAATAAGTTGAGAACAGTTCGTTGACATATCATAAGTTATTTTTTTCGTAATATCTTTTAAACAGTCATGCAAGTGTTTATGTCATAAGATAAACCCTATTGCATTTTCTGTTAACACTTAGCAAACTTCTAATAAATGATATATTTGTCATTTTATATACTCAATTGATATTTGTCATTTTATATACTGAATAGATATTTGGAATTATATATTTGGAATTAAATATTTGTCATTAGATACTAATGTTTTTCTTTATTACAGGTTAGATGACTAGTAATGAGGAGCACTCACACGATGATTCTATTAATGATGGAGACGATGATGGAGGAAAATCCAATAAGTGAGTGGAAAAAGAAATTAAAAAAGGAAAAACTATTATGAAGAATATCATTCGTGATAGAGATAGAGGTATAAAATACGATGTGCATTGGAGTCTAAATGACCAATTAATTGAGCCTAACGGTTCTAAATTGACAAGTTACATTGGTACAATTGTAAGGAGAGAAATTCCAATAACTTGTGATGAGTGGAGAGATGATAAGCTGGATGGTGCTAAAAACAAAATCTGGAGTGAGATACAGGTACTTTAAATTATGTCTTTAAATTACGATTATGTACTTTAAATTATGTCTTTAAATTACTTATACTAACGCACTTTGTGTATGTTTTTTGTAGAGGTCTTTCAACATTGATGACACAAGAAAAGATTATTGTCTTGGATTGGCCGACAAAATACTAAGAGGGTTTAGAACATATTTAAACAGAAAATATCTTAGAGATGCCGAAAAAGTTTTTGTTGATGCAGAGCGTCCAGCAGAATATGCAGATGTGATTTCAGTTAAAGAATGGGATGTTTTTAAAGCCAAACGGAAAACCCTAAAATTTCAGAGTGTAAGTGACGTAAATCGTCAAAGAGCATCATCTCCCGCATATCCATACAAAAAAGGGCGTTTGGGATATGCACGATTAGAACAAAAAATAGTAAGTATTTACAAATTGCAATGATATACTTGTTCATCAAGAGTTATAACTGAGCTTGTTTTTTGTGTTAATGTGTAGTTAAAAGAGGAGAGTAGTTCTGAAACATCTCTTCCAGAGCATGTTTTGTGGAAGGCTGCCCGTGTGGGTAAGGATGGAGTTCTTAAAGAAGATGTACAACAAATTTTTGAAAAATGCGTAAGTATAACATTAATTCTAATTAAATCAAAATTTTATTAACATATAGTATTCATGTTTTTCCAATATTCATATGAATTTCAGGAGAGTCTGTCTCAGTCTACATCTCCACCAGATGATTGCAGGAGCATACTTAG